GGTCGTCCACCTGGAAGACTTCCCAGACGACTTAACGGTAAGTCGTCTGGGTCGTCCACCTGGAAGACTTTCCAGACGACTTTACCAGACTTCCAGTAGAACATTTGAAAGCTGACCAGACGAATGAGACGAGAACAACATCCAACCTAACTAGACCACAAATCGATTGAAATCCCCAATCTTTGAAACCCTAATTTGAAAATGAAAATATCCACAAATTGCTTGAAATCACAAATCGTAACCGTGAAAGGAGAGGAAAACTACATCCAACCTAACTAAACAACAAATCGATTGAAATCCCCAATTTTTGAAACCCTAATTTGAAACCAAAATTTCCAGAAATCGTTGAAAACACAAAACAAAACGGTAAAAGTAAAGGAAAACAACATCCATCCTAATAAAAACCATAAATCCGCAAGAGAAGCCTTCGATTTACCTTGGTCTTGTATCGGATCGAAATCGCCTCGAAATCACCTTTGAGAGAAACGACGTTAGGGTTTTCTGAATTTCGCGAAAAAATGAGTAAAAAAAAAAACATCTTATATATGTCCGGTCAAAAATAAAGTTAGGTTTAAAAGTAATTTGGTAAAATCCGGTTTGGACGACTTATAATTAAGTCGTCTGTTGATACTATAAGACGACTAAGTCGTCTGCATTATTAAATATATTTACCAGACGACTTAAATATAAGTCTTCCAGACCCTAAACCCTAAACCCTAAACTAAATTGACTAAATGAACTAACTAACCACGTTATAAAATCAAATTATACTTAAATATTGTTTACTATACACAGAAATAAACACACTTAGGTAAATTTTTAATCTTTCAAAAAAACATTTATGCTTTCAAAAATCTAACCCTAAGAAACACATACAATACTACAACATATGTTGGTGAAACCTAAACCAAAGAATATCATGATTCACTACTTTCACTCATCTATGCTGAAAACAACTGACTTTTGTTATATATTAATTTATATCTCTTAAGACATATGTTAATTACATAATTTCAATTTTTCATTTATCAAAATATTTATTACACAATTTTTAAATTATTTTTAAGAAAAACTGTCTGAGACGACTTTAAACTAAGTTTGAAGTCATCTGGGCAGACGACTTACGAGGGCTAAAAACGTAAAAAAAAACTCTTTTTTTGTTTGTTCACAAGGGGTTGGTTGTAATTTCAACAGCCTTTTAAGTTACTTTTGCATTTGATTCAAGTTTGGGTTTACTTTTGCATTTCAAATCAAGTTTTGAGTCATATTTGGCAATTTTCCCAAAAAAATATCAAAGAAAATAAACCTCTTTAGTAATTATTATGTGACAAATATAATTCTCATACTCCTAGCTTCTCCAAATTTTAATCTTATATCATAAGTAAACTTCTCCAAGTGATTAGTGTACTTGATAGTAAAACTCTTTAAATCCTATGATCCCATTTTGCAATGATAAAAACAAAATGTGGAAGCGCATTCAAATCTTGTAAACAGGGGTGATTCCAAGAAGGTGAAAGCATTTCCTCATCACTATAGCTGTTGCTTCACAAAGTAGAAGACGGCTTGCCTCCTCTGCTGAACCAATCACCTGTAAAAAACACATGATCGAATATGCAGCTAGTCAGATATCACTATAGTATTAAATAGAAAGGTATAATGTCCTGAACCCACACCTGATGAACTGAATAGAATGTGGTGTAGCGTTCAGATAACTCGTATAGGTACTCGCAGAGAACATGCGGTAACAAGTTGGTACAAGCTGCCTCAACCGTCTGCAATCATTCACAAATGGGTTATGTTCATCTTGTTACACAGAATAGTGAAGTCAAAGATTGAAACTAGTATAGGTTCATGATGAGTATGTGTTACCTCAGCAAATCGAAGCAAGTGAAGCCCTAATGCTCGTTCTTCTGGATGATTCAATGCTAACTTCCCTGTCTGCAAATAAAACAAAAGTCAAAACATAAGAATCACTCTTCAGTTATAGTCAAGAGGAAGAAACACAATCAACAATACCTTTTTAAGCTCATCAATGTCTTTGCCAGACTTTTTAATGATTGAACAGATCCGAGCATGTGCGTAAAGAAGGTAAACGGCTGTGTTTCCCTGCGACGATAAACTCATTTAAGCATGTCTGCATAATGCAAAATATGTAAAAAACTAAGGTGGCAGATTCCAATTACCTTGTCACTAAGCATTTGATCGAAGTTGAAAGTATAACTAGTCGATCTGTTGTTCTTCAAGTCAGCATACCTTGAAAAGAAACATTAAACAAAACCGCAAGTTAGCAGTAGAACGAACACTCATCAATCTCTTTTCAGTTTTTGATCACAATACTCACTTTATTGCACCATATCCAATAGCCTCAGCTGTTTGGTCCAGCTCCTCTGGAGTCCATTCTTTGTCTTTACCACGCTCAACAAGGGCAGCTTTGCCGCGAGTCTTGGCCTCATCTAGCAAATCAACTAGTCGAACTACCTTTGAAGACCGAGTTTTAAACGGCTTGCCATCGTTTCTCTTGACGAGACCAAAGCCAACATGGTCAACTCTAGGGTAAGTTTTATCACTCTCTGGTAGCCAACCAGCTTTTCTTGCAGCCTGATTCATATAACCATTGCCAAGACTGATATTTTAAGCAAAACAAGTTAGAAAAAATACTCATCAACCCTTTGAAAAACATGCTAAAATGCTGATGTTGGCCAGCATCAGTCAAGTATACAATCCACTCAGCTTTCTCTTCATTAAGCCGATACCTGGACCATGCAGATTTATAAAATCAGTAAACCATTCATTATTTTAAATAATATGCAAAAGTTTAGATGAATATTAAAGATTAACACACCAAAGAGCAGTAAGATCTGTAGAGGCATAGTTAAAACCACCGTCACTTTTTACAACTATGAGTGGGATGCTGAAGCCTTCAAGGAAAATGACACGAGCACCCTCACTTTCTTCAATCAAACCCTTGCTATTTAGTTCCTCAATTACTTTAGGGATATAGGGATTGTAGAAGCTCTCTCCCTGTCATAGATCATTTTCATTAACCTCTTTTCTATCCTGTCTCAAAAAATAGTATAATACTTGTCAATATCTATTCTCAGTTACCTTCTCTTCAAGAACAACTCCAAGGCGTTGATAAATCTTGGAAAACTCGGCTCGGCTAATATCACAAATCTTAGTCCAGGCCTTGAGGTAAGTAGGATCTCCTCCCTGCACCAAGCCACCAATGAACCAAAAAAAGACTTAGACAAGTGAAAAACTTAGATCTTACAAACCAAAGCAGGAGACAGCACCAACACTTCAGGTAATGAAAATAAATAGAGTTATTTACCTGTAGACGGACTACAGATTTTTGTGCCTTTTCCTTGAACTCCGGATCATAATCAAATTTACTCTTTGATTTTTGGTAAAACGTCTGTCACATGACACATAAAAATTAGAAACTAAATTGCTTTAGCTCTTAACATAAAGCTTATCACACTAAGGAGGTTGACCTGAAGATCACCAATTGCTGTCTCAGTGACACTCTCTGTATCAGGAAACTTCTCAAAGAGATACTCAATGAGCATCCCAAACTGCAGAACCAAAACAGATTTTTTTTAATTTCTTCGATAAATAAATTTAATAAATACATTATTTGAAGAGCAGAGAAGTAGCTGCTGTTACCTGTGTTCCCCAATCACCAACATGGTTTCTGCGCAGAACTTCAACCTTTGAGTACTCAAGCATGCGAGCAAGCGTGTCACCGATGATAGTTGGTCTTAAATGACCAACGTGCATCTCTTTAGCAATGTTTGGAGATGAAAAATCAACTACAGCTCTCTTAACTGGTAGAGTAGGCGCCCATGTGTCAATCCCATCGATAAGCATAGTTTCAATACTCTTGCGTATTAGAAAAACAATCATGAGATGAATTAGTTAATAAAAAACTAGGCAACTGATTATACAAAACAGAAGCAGCAATACCTTAGCCATCCACTTGGATGATAGTATGACATTAACAAAACCAGGTCCAGCCACAGAGCATAACTCTGACTCCACCATCTCAGAAGCAGGTAGATTCTTCAAAAGAGCCTATGTGAAACAAAAGAAAAAAAATAAGAATCTTCTATTAAGACATAGAGTTTATAAAAAAGCTACAAACCTGTCCAACAGCTGGAGGACCTTTGAACTGAGTTTTCTTTCCTTTAATAATGGACCAGAGACCCATTGCATTGTTACTGCATAACAAACAACAATTTGATGTTTAACTTAAATAGGAACACATGAGTTACAATTTGAATGAAGTGAAAAGAGGGAGAGAGAAGAGAAACCATTGGTAATCTCCAGGTCTCCCAGGAAGGCAAGCAGTAACTTCTGTCTCAACACTAGTTTCATGAGGAACCGTTGATCTAAGAGACGCATCAAAGAGATTCTCCAGCTGGCGTTTTAGATTCCCAGGGTGTTCTTGAACCTATCACAGAACTCAAATAATCAGTTAAGGAAAAAAAAAAGAGTATTACGTCAAAGTAGCTCTAAAACTGTGACTTACAGCTGCCATGGTTGTCACTGACTTTAACTTAGTTGAGAAAGTAAATCTCCTAGTCGTTGCTCTTAATACGCCTGCCTAGGTTACAAACTCCACATAAGAACTTTATATCTTTTTTGTAACTTTTTGTACACGCAAAGGACCAAACTTTTAAAAAGGAAGAACTTTTTTTTTTTTTGTAACATTCTTGATTGTAACATTCTCTGTTTCTCTGTAACATTCTCTGTATAAGGAAGAACATGATTGTAACATTCTCTGTTTCTATTGGTTCTGCTACATAACAATATAGTCTTATGACTCTTATCTCACGGATGTTGCAATAGAAAAGTTACTTCCAAGACCTAAAGTTCGGAGGAGAGAGTATTTTACCCGACGGAGAATGAGACGAAGATGCCAAGTGGCTGAAGAGAGAAGACGGCTGTGTAGCTATTACCGGGATAAGGGTTAGGCTTCTTGCCCTTTTTTTTTGAACAACTGAAACTTATATTAGATTAAAAGGTGCAGAGAAGGTTCCAAGCCCAAAACGAAAGGCTAGCCCACAAGGAAATTAAAGGAACGACAATGGGCCTTAAGGGCCTGCTTAGCTAAGAGATCAGCATCATGTTCTGTGAACGAGGGATGTGATCGAAGACGATAGAATCAAAGTTTGAGGAGAGACTCTTGATGTCTTGTAGAACACCGTAAATTTGTTTCATCTGATTCGGGGTGGTGATTGCTCTGATGACTTGCGCAATCGGAGTAGAACTTGACTGAGCGAAACCCTAACCCTAGAGCCACTGTGATTCCATTTCGAAGAGCCAACGATTCAGCTATTAGAGGAGATCCCGCATTCTCGATCAAACTGGTTCCTGACGATGGGATTCCTGATAAAACATTGGTGAAGCGCCATGCAATTCCTGCTTTGTTCGATGAGGTCTCCCATGCTGCATCTACAAAGCAGCAGAGCGTTTGGGAAGGTCACAGATCTAGTCGATATCTTGATCTTACGGATAAGACTGTTCTCCTACACGGTTTGTCTTCACTTTGCGCTTGAATTCATTCCAAAGCTGATGCTAATCCTTTTGTTGCTACTTCCGAAGCTTGTGCCGTTTTGTCTTCGAAGATTAATTTGTTTCTTGCTAACCACAAGGACCAGAAGATCCACAGAAGCAGAGGGGCTGTAATTCCAGTGGGTGGAAAGCAGGTCATTTTCCTGGTTTGTACCACCAAGGCTTTAAAATCCGCCTCAACAGCTATGTGAACTGGGGACTTGAGAGGGATAAGACGCCATACATCTTTGGCGAAAGGGCAGTGATTGAAGACGTGCATAGCTATTTCTTCTTCCTTACACCGGGGACACAGTGCTGCAGAGTTCATACCTCGTCATTGAAGTTCCTTTTCCAAAGGTAATGCTCCTTGAATGATTGACCAAAGAAAAAGTTTAAGTTTTAGTGCCGTTTTTGAAGACCACACATCTCTTAACCAATTGAAATCCAGGCCAGAGGGATTTTGTGGAGTTGCAGCTTGATCGACAGGGGGGTGTTTGGTCTGAGATTTTGAATTCTAACCACTTTGTCGAATAGATTCCGGAGTCCGGCGGGAGCCAAACATAAGCATCTTCTGCACCTTCTTTGCTTGGCTTCAGGCATTGTATATGCTTGGAAAAGTCTGGTAAGAATTTATCTAACCTTTCCTTATTCCATTGTAGATCAGACACTCTAATATCCAGGACTGCTTCGTGGACTGGACCAAACGTTTTTGTTTGAGAGTTGAGAGAGATCCACGGGTCCTTCCAAACTTTTATATTCTGACCGTTATCTATTGCTTTTCCCAGGTGATCCTGAAGTAGGTCACTACCATGGAGTAGGCTTCTCCACCCATGGGAACAAACATTCGGGACTTGAGCATCCAAGAAACTCCTCTTGTGATAATACTTCCCGGTAAGTACTCTAGCTAACAAGAAGCTTGGTGAGATTAAGATCCTCCATGCTATCTTTGTGAGTAAGGCTTGGTTAAGAAATTGAATATCTCGCAAACCTAAGCCTCCTGCAACCTTGGGTTTTGTTAATTTTTCCCATGCTAACCATCACATGTTTTTCTTGTCAGGAGATTTGTCCCACCAAAACCTCGTAAGGGTGGACTGGATTCTGTTGCACATGCTTTGTGGGATTTGGAAGCAAGACATTGGATACGTAGGTATGCCAGTGAGGATAGATTTGAGCATGGTTAGCTTTCCTGCACGAGAGAGAAATCTTGTGGACCAGTTTGAAGCTCTTTGCCGGATTCTGTCGACTATAGAGGTGAATAGATCTTTCTTTCTTCTTCCAAAATGTCTTGGTAGTCCAAGATATTTTCCTATGCCTCCTTCTTTTTTAATACCCAGTAGGTCTTTAGCTGCTTTCTTGATGTCTAGAGGGATTTTTACCGAGAATATGATTGATGATTTGGAGATATTGACTTTTTGCCCTGACACATTTTCATAGTCTCGCAGAATCTGTAGCAGAGAAAGAGGCGGCTATCAAGGGAGGAATTTCAGAAGATCATCGTATCATCAGCAAATAGGAGATGATTGACTCTAGGGCTGCCCTTTGCCACCCGTACACCTCTCATCGAGCCCGTCAACTCTGCAGAGGCTCGAGAGTACCTCCCCACAGAGGATAAAGAGGTAAGGTGAGATATGATCACCCTGCCTGATTCCACGTTGAGGTTTGACTGCTCCATACACTGTATCATTTATTAAATAGGAGTAGGATACATATGTTAGGCATTGCATGATCCAATTGATCCATTTAGCATGAAACCCCAGTCGATTCATCACTTGGTATAGGAAGTCCCATTCAACTCTTTCATAAGCTTTAGACATGTCCATTTTCACTGCCATAGAACACTTTTTCTGAGCTTGTGAGGTTTTAAGGTATTGCAGAACCTCATGTGTAATTAACACATTGTCTGTTATTGAACGTCCATGGATGATGGCTGACTGGTTCTCCAAAATAATAGAGCCCATGACTGGTTTCAGTCGCAAGGAGATGAGCTTTGAAATAATCTTGTAGTACACGTTAAACAAAGCAATAGGTCTGTACTCATCAACTCTCTTTGCACCGTGGGTTTTGGGAATAAGTCTGACATGTGTTTCGTTCAGTGTAGGTGATATGATTTCGGTGGAGAAGAAGATTTGGATCTCTGCAATTATTGAGGAGCCTATTGTCTCCCAGTTTGAATGGAAGAAACTTGCGGAGAAACCATCAGGCCCTGGTGCCTTATCCGCATGGATCGCGAAAAGCACCTCTTTTATTTATGTAGGAGACGGGTCTCTGGTAAGCAACTCGTTCCATTCCTGCGTAATACAAGGTTTGAGGGCCTGAATAATTGTGGCATTTTCCTCCTCTCTCAGGTTTGTAGAGAAGAGCTTATCATAAAAGGAGCAGACTAAGGCTGATATTTGCTCTTCCTCGAAGAAAGGTATGCCATAATCAATTTTTCAGAACGCTTAGTCTGTTTCTTGTTTTTCTGGTCTTCGTCACAGCGTGAAAATATCATGTATTTGAATCTCCTAGAGTCAACCAGAGTTGGCGACTTCTTTGTTTCCAGTAGGCTTCTTCAGAGAGAGGCTTTTAGAAGGGATTTGTTTATGTCTTGTATCTTTTCTTCATTTGGAACATCACTCGACATTTGGTTATCAAGTTCCTCTCTCAACCCCTCTATTAACTTTCTACTGTTTTCGTGGAACGGCTTGCACCATTTGCAGATTGCTCTACGGCATGAGGCCAGCCTTGCTTGGACTCCCAGGTAATAATAATTGTTCCAAATTTCCGCTACAAGATTCTTGATATCTTTGTTATCTTTTAGGCGTCTGTCGTAGCGGAATAAGTTGTGACCTTTCTTTTTTGTCGTGTCTAGGTATGAGACGATGGGACGGTGATCAGATCCTTCATACTTGAGGTATTGGCATCGGCATGAGGGGAATAGTTCGGTCCACTCTGGATTACTCATTGCACAGTCAAGCAGACACCGGACCAAGTGCGAGCCTCTTTTATCTCTCCAAGAGAAGGTGTTCCCGGAGTGCTTTAAGTCAAAGAGATCATTCTCCGAGAGGAAGGCGTTCCCGGATTAGGCTTCTTGCCATATCTATTTTCTTACTTCTTTTCCAAAATTAATTTTTTTTTTGTCAAAACTGATTAGTATTGGGCCGTAAAAGCCTGGTCCAATTTTCAAATTTTTAGCGCGTTAGGCAAATAACGTTATTTGATTATTCAAAAACAACACAAAGAAACTGTTATGATGAAGACGAAAAATAAATGGAAGTCATCATGTAAGTGTAGATTAAATAAATTATACTTTTCTTAAAAGATGTGATGATTATAAAGCTTACAATTAATTAGAAGGTGTCTCCTCCTACTAAAACTATTATGAATTTTGAACCTTTATTAAAATGCTTAAGTCTAGATTTCGGCTTAGCTTATACTAGTCTTCATTTAGTTACCAAACGTATGACTTGTCAAATTAGTTTTTATTTTTATTTTTGATAAAGAGTTTTTCGGATGTGGCAATTTTTAATGTTAAAATAGATAATATTTCAACCTAAAATCAATTGGTAATTAGAAGAGTGTTCAATTTATTTATTTTTGGACAACAAATGACCAGTCTATTTTGTATACTACTAAGAATTCATTCCAACTACCAATGTGAGATCTTTGTCCCTAACACGTCCTCTCAAGATGATAGTTTTTTGAGTGTCAATCTTGGAATGTTCGGACAAGGATCGATGGACATATCGATGAAAATCGGGTTAGATTTTGTGGATCGAAAGCTCTGATACCATATTAAGTTAGATGAGTTTCCAGCCTAAAACCAATTGGTGATAAGAAAAACGATCAATATCTCTTATATACTACTCCTTCTGTTCCTAAAAGATCCATATTCTAGTTTTTTCACATTTTTTAATAAAACACAATAAATTTGCATAGTTGTTTTTTGTATTTATCTTCTTTTTATAATTTTAAACCAATAAAAATCAGTTAGTTGAATTAAGTTTTTTGAAGTTTACAATAGTTAATAAAACATGCATTGAAAATGTAAAAAATAAATTTTTTAGAAACAATTTTTTTTCTAAAATATGTATCTTTAAGGAACAGAAGGAGTATTAAAAATTCTTTCCAACTACCGATGTTAGACTTTTTCTCTAATTATTAAAACAATACATGAGTGCAAATAAATATGAAATCTTTTTTTTTGTTTATATGAAATCAAGAATATAATTTCTACATAAACAAAAATAAGTCAAAGACAAATTTGCTTAGTTAGAAGAGAAACCCAAAGGCCAGAGTGGCTACGGTAGCGACAAAAGTGAGGATAGACAGGGAAGCATCAGAGGTAGGGCTCGGAGCCGGAGACTCCACGGCGGCAGCCTGTTGCACGACAGAGAAAGCCATCCCGACCACTAAAACAGCCACAAAGAGTTTCATCTTCATTGACTCCATTAATGATTCTTGAGAAAGCCAACACAGAAAAGAGTTTATATGTTTGTGTGTCGTTATGTGTTGTGATTTGTGGGTTATATATACACATGGATGTGTGTTAGGCCAACTGTGCACGTGTCACTTTACAGTTTAATTAACACCAACCCAAAAATCAATTTTGTACTGAATTGTAACTCTTTTTATTGTTTCAGAAAGAAAAAAAGATTTGTTTTCAAGATCTTCACTAGATCTCTGTAACTTAAAAAACACTATAGCACAATTTTTTAGAAAATGTAACTGTTGATGAATTGGTAAAGCATTAGACTACATATCTAGATCACAACAATTTGAAATATATGCCCTGATCAAATAATAAAACTGTTGGCGTTCTAAACCAAATGAGAAAACTGGTAAGCCAAAAATAATTGTTGTTTAGCTGAGGTCATCAACTAAGATACTTCTGAAAAACAGTTAGAATTAGTTGTTATCTACTGTTTGAATCTTGGAGAAATTGATATAATTAATATATACTCTATGTTGAGTTGGGTCAAAGATTATACAGATCATAAAGTGTGATGTTTACAATTAATACAGTTCACGTTGCGACCGTTTTCTTTAAAAAAGGGTAAAAGAAATAGAAAACTTTTGTTTTTGTTTTTCCTGTGACAGTCATGAAAATAATAGAATATGAGTACACCAATGAGCTGTTTTGCTGTTTCTTTATAGGCAAATAATTTGGTATCTGAGTGATGGCACCATGTGCTCTTAATTTATAAATGAAGGTTTTCAATTTATTATACGACAGTACAAATAAAAAAGTAAATGATTTATGACCTGTTATTTGTAAATCTACCAACGTGTTTAACATTTTGTAGTGCTAAGTATATACAATTATAATGCTCTAGTAAACTCTTCTAGAGACCAGTAATGCTAATGGCCTAAAGAAAATAAAGGATTGAAGAAGTAAAACTGATTTCACATTTACAAATAAACAAGCTTCTTCCTTCGGACCCAAGAAACAAACAAAGAAAGCTCACAGAAGCAGGACTGAGACTTAAGAACAAAAGAAAATGAAGATTTACTAACTATTAATATACATCAACCTTTTTTATTTAACCTTATATCAACACAAAGAAGATTATTACTTGAACTACAAAGTATAGACACACCAACATCAACATGATCTGAGAATCTGGGATTGATATTTAAACAATGAAAAAATGTGAATGCGAAGTGATTCTAATATGTAGCGATGACAGCTGAATATGAGCCATAAGCAAAAGCTCGATCACGACCGTCATCTTCGTCGGCTCCAGGAAATAGAAAACCTGACGGAGGAAGACAAAGAAAACTCAAAAGCCATAGAGAGAATCGACCCACTTCCTGGAGAGGGAAGAAGCAGACAAGGTTAAGCATCTCGCTGCTGCCAATGCGATCTGACGGCGGGATCCGCCGTAATCTCTGCCAAATCCCAGCTGACAAATGAGCTACCGACATAACAGTCCGGCCGTTGAACACCATATGTCCGAACAGTGTTATTCACAAAACGTTTCTGCTTTAGTTATTTTTTGTTGGTTTTAAAGAGATGATGATTCCGTAATTTCCGCCTGGTTTTGTCTGTCTTTGTGTATACAGAAAGGTCATGGGGGTTTCCAGATCTTCACCCTTCGTTGCCATGTTGACTTCAATTATCATTAGACATCAGTTAGTGCATGATCCCTTTTTTATTCATATAATATTCAGACATGCATAAACCAAAACAAGATTTCCATATAATATCATTAGACATCAGTTTGCTACAATAAGATATATTATCCATATAATATTCAGAGATCTTCACCCTTTGTTTGGTTTTAAGGAATTGGACATCTTTCACAAGGTCCAATGGACATTTTGTATTTGCTAAGTCATGAGATCGAAGCACAAGACTGCCACACTATTAAATCGTAATACGGCAGCGTTTCAGAGACAAATAGTACACGCACCCTCCTTTTATTTGGTCTGTATGTGTTTTGATCTGTAGTTAATTGATGAAATCTTTGGTTTAGTTCTTTGGAACAAAACTGTGTAGGAATGTTAGCTTAGGGTAGAAGTTAGAATGATGGAACTCGCAAGCTTTAAAACTCTACAAAGGAACACTCTAATCAGTCTAGTTACAGCTAGCTCTTAGCTCTAATTGACCCCTAACAGTCTAATGTAGATTTAATGATAAAAAGAGAAGCTATAGAACAAAAGGAAGACGTCGTTCAAAGCATGCCTACTCTTAGAGAAACTAAACAATCTAACTGTAGACCTAAAAGAGTGAATAATGTCCACTCGTGAGCCTATGCCTTCTTGAGTTAGTCACAATGATAGATTGTATACACTATTAATATCAGCTTGAGTTTGAATTAGTTATATAAATGTGAGTGGTTTGCAGCATCAAAGTGTGAATCTAGATCATTTTCCGGCTCCTAACATTAATGGAAATGTTTCTTGGTGGCATCTCTTTTGCTCTAACATTACTACTTCACTCATCAGTTCAAGCAACAACATCAATTTCTCATGTAAATCAGACATAAACCGGTGCATGAATACTTTTTCATTAGCAGATTTGTTTCTTAATTGGCTTTGGGATGTCTTCTTCACGCTTTTTTGCAGGTTTACGTTGTATATTTAGGCGCTAACCGGCTACAAAACGCTGCTTTAGCTTCAAGACACCATCTTCATCTTCTTTCAAAAGTCTTTACAAGGTTCCTTACATTCTTCAAAACTTTCTTTTGTACAGTCTTTTTAAAAAAAATTCTCTGGCAATAATATCTGGACTGCTGATTTTGGATATGCCTTGTTCTAGCAAAGAAGATGCGGAGCGTTCTATGTTGTACAGTTACACCTATGGCTTCTCAGGCTTCTCCGCAAAACTTAACTCAACACAAGCTGCTTCTTTATCAGGTAATAATACTTCCTTTTTTATATTATGGCAGCAAAATTTTACCGACCGTTAAAGAATTCGGTTTAGTTTTGGTCATCCTTGGCCAAAATAACAATATTTTTGTATCAGTAGAACCAGTAACACAATGACAAAAAAAAGAACCAGTAACTCTGAGAGACTTAGTTTTAAGACACCAACCACTAATTCAGTCGAACCAGTGGAACCTAACTTGCTAAACTAGTTGCATATTCCCCGTGCAAGCGCGGAACCGAGATTATTGTGTTTGCGTGGATTTTTTTTCAATTGATTGTATAGTGAATTCTTTTAATATCACCAAATAATAATGAAATGGAAAGAATGTAACAAGAGTATAAAATGAAAATATTATATATATAATGTATTAAACTAGATTTTGATCCGCACTTAAAAAGTGCGGAGATAATATTTTAGTTAAAATACATTTTAAATTTTTTTTATCAAAATGCTTTTTGTTATTGTATTTGGTTAACATCTATTTTCCTTTAACTTTAGTGTAGTAATAAAAAAGTTGCTCTAAAATCAAATTCACTGTTTATATATGGATCTAAAAATTGGATGTAAGTTTAGATTAGAAAAGGTTTTATCAAACTGCACTAACTGTAGTCAACATTACTAACAGAATTTTAATGTAAATTACAATAGAAATTTTGGCTATTTCAAATTAACAATATTTAGTATTAATTCGGATGAACTATGGTAATATATATTCTTTAAATTGGATTTTTAGAAAGGTTGATATATATTCGGATTCTAATGATTGAGTGGTTAGAACTTTCAGTAGCTAAAGATCTATCGGTCTGGATTGTTATTTTGTGTATCTGATGGTTATAAACTTATAATGGTTATTTTTAATCAGTTTGAAGTTTATAATATTTGATTATATGATGCCACTATGAAATCTATGGTCTTTAATGTTTTCAGAAAGATATGGAATATAATAGAGAGAATATATAGTAGTGGTTAATATATTCGATTGTGTTTTGTGGCATAGGAAACGTTAAAGATTTGATATTAAATTGCTGCAATATGATTGATTTATTTTTTGTCAGTACCTATTTATAATTAAACAGAAATATAGAAGTGGTATAGTTTGTAAATACCTCCAAAATATAAGGGTAGAATCATAAGAGGGATTCTACTTTAATAGTATAGATATAAATGTTATTTATATGCGAAATAAGTTTTATAGTAATAGTTAGACTATAATATAATTTTTAGTGTGTAAAAGTAGGTGTCTATTTTTTTTTTTTGCTGTAAATAATTTTTATATCGTAGGTCAAAACTTGATATAATTATATATTTATAGTATTTATTTTTGTATTAAACAATTTATCAATTTGAAAATAACCTTAATTAAGTTAATATTCGTTGTTTATGTTTCATTCAATAGGTTTTATATATGGTTTTTATTCATAAATGATGTGGCATTTTTATACGGTGTCATTGAGTGTGGGAATCCATTCGCCGGAGTCTGGAGTCAGTGGTAAATAATGTTTTCAATTAAATTAGTAGCTATTAAAATGTAAGAGAAATGATATCTACATTTAATAAATAACGAAAAATACTTTAATTTTGTTGTTTTTTAATTTTATTTCACATACAAATTTTGTGAAAATATATATTAAGAAATATGTGCAATGATTTAATATTTTTAACTTCTAATCTATATTATTCAAGTCTACTTAAGCCATCTATGTAGGCACTGCGTGGGACTCACCTTTTTTTTTTTGTTTTTTGGTCTATGCATTTTTGAATCTATTTTTTATTGATTTTGGGTTGAACTATATTAAATAGAACAATTTTAAAGTTCTTTATTATTATAATACTAGTATTATGGCCCCTGCTATGCAGGGGCAAAATAATTATCAAATTAAAAATAAAAACATTATATTAAATATGAATATAGCAGGGACAAAATAATTATTAAATTAAAAGTAAAAAACATTATATTAAATATAAATCTATATAGAAACCCACAAATAGATCAAAACTACGTGAAACATGAACCAATGAAAACATTCGACTTTTCATTTCACTTTAAATAAGGTTTTGGTTTGATACATTAAAAACTTCTATATCTTGGAGTATAAGCTATCCTGAAGTTTTTCACAAAAAAAGATATTAAAATACTTGTAGAGAACCGAAAAAGAAAAATATAATCTCCTACCTTTACATCAAAACGATGATAATGTTTTTATATTAACACATATTTTAATATAGCCATGTGATGGATACCAAATGTAAAAAAGTCGAATATATATAGATAATCAATGTAAAAAAATACCTTTTTATTGTATGTGAACGTAATATATTTTTTGTGATGGTCGTTACTGCTCGTGTGTACATTGGATAAAATTTTCTGTCTTTTTTCGTATACAACAAATGAAGCTTGTCAGAATCACCAAATGAATAAGACCATAAAAATTAAAATTTTTCTTTAAAACATGTTTTCAAAATAAGTTAAAAATAAAAATTTTAACAAAAAAAAAATAGGGGAAATTGTTTTTTTAGCCCAAAATCATTAGGAAGTTGTCCCCTTAGACTAAATTGTATTTTGTCTCATTTTTTACTTATATCAATATAGTGGTATTTTTTTACAGTTTTAAAAATGTGTAAATCACAATTTCATATTTTATTCTATGGATATTAGAATCCATGTACTACAGATTAGAATCTCAAATCTACTTTTTCCATAATTTCTACTTTTCTCAGAATTCGTGTTCTACAGAAGTAATAGTATTCTAAAACATATTGGAATACACATTCCGCATTTAACATAGTCTTCTAATATCTGTAGAAACCATAATCTAAACATTATGATAAATCTAAAAAAAGTAGAAATCGGAATCTACACATTGCTTACATTCTAATACATGTAGAAACTGATTTCAAACATGTTTACCGAGTTCTACCTTTAGTAGAATATGTATTCTACGGATAAAGTTAATCAGATCCGAAAATATAGGAATTAAATATTTAAAAATATTCACTTTCCATATTTTTAATATTTAAAAAAGGAAAATCTGTTTTCAAAAAAAAGGAAAAAAATCATGCCAAATCTCTCTCAATTTTTTTCTCACGTCTCTTTTCCATTCTTCCCAATAATTCACAAAGTTTTTACATTGTTTCTACCATGATTCATGTTTATGCTTCATAATTTCACTAAGATTTGGGAATGGGGAAGATTAGGTTTAGGTTTAACTGATTTAGGTTTTTTTTTTTAATTTTTTAAAAAATTTTCATTAAACCTAATAAAATATATTATTATTATTTTCTAATTTTAATTACGAATTAGTAAACATTTTTTATTTATTTTATTTTATTTTTTATTTTTTATTTTTTTAAATTTTTAATATAAAATTTTCATTAAACCTAATAAAATATGTTATCATTATTTTCTAATTTTAATTACGAGTTAATAAACTGCTTTTGTAATTTTAATTTTTTTTTTAATTTTTAATATAATTTTTCCATTAAACCTAATAAAATATATTATTATTATTTTCTAATTTTAATTCCGAATTACTGAACTATTTTATTTAAAAAAAAATTAATATACTTTTTCATTTAACCTTATAAAATATTTTATTATTAGTTTCTAATTTTAATTACGAATTAATAAACTTTTTTA